ATATATATATATATATAAATCAATAGGACATACTAGAATGGATTATATTAAAGAATCATAAACAATTTTTAAGTTTATAATATAATAACAACAATGTTTGTTTCATATAAATACAATAACAAAAATATGTAAATTTAATAACAAAAATAAACGAAATATAAACATTAACTATAATACATTATTTAATTTTTACTATTACTATTTTTTTCCTCATCCAGGCATTGAATAAAGAAAAGAGTAACCTTTTTTCTCACAGTCGCAGCTTCTGTGCTATTTAAAGTTTTTAACTCGCTTAGAATGTAATTAGCGAAAGACGTATTTGGGTCTGATGCATTTTCTTTACGCTCTTTCATTACATTAACCGCATCACGCATTGTTTCTGCAATTTGTGTTGCTGCCGATTGTTGATTTGAGGGTTGTGTGCGACGGGTAATTGTTGGGGTAGATAATGGTGGTGTTGACGTAGTGGGGGTGTCGCTATCAACTGGATATAAGTTACAAGTTTTTTGTTATTGAGGTACATATTTTTTTAAAATATACACTTACTATTATTATCGGTACCATGGGCAATATTTAAATTGGAAATTGTTGGTTGTGTTTGGTGATCCTCGGCTCGGCCTACGAAAGCCATAGCATTAAAATATTTCCATTTAGGCATTTCCATTGTGCCCTGTCCTGACTTTGTTTTAGAACGGGCGGCATACCCCCTATATTGAATTCGCAAATTTGTCCATTTGGTGGTTACATCCACTACCGAATATGCGGGTTCAAAGTTATCGGCAATATTTAGCCAGCCAATGTCGCGAATGGCTTTATTGTGGTATCCATCCATTGAGGCGTTCCACAAACAGGGCTCAGCCTCTACCAATGAAATTAATTTAAAAATATAATTTTCTTCCCAATCTTTAAAAGATTTTGGTTTTGTACGGGCTTTTTTGGCTACTGGTTCTTTAACATCCATGTCTGCAAAATTTTGCATATTCTATGATTTTTAATTCAACATAAAGTAAATTTTAATGCCTTTGAAATTTATTTAAGTATGTATTTCTTTTTTGTTTTTATTTAATTTAATTTAACTGTGCACAATTTTTTTTAATAAAAGTCAGCACAGCTGCTTGTTTACTTTTATTTTAATGTGGTCAATGCTATTTAAATATTAAATCGCTAAAAACTGCAAGTGCTTTTACAATATTATATTATTGGTTGTATATATTTAAGGAATTCATCAAGCGTTCTAATTCAGCTGATTTTAAGAGATTTTTTCAATACCTGGTAGTCTTTTTTCTTCTGACTACAGAGATGAAAAAAAAAAATCTGCACCCTCTTAGGGGCCGGGAGTTATGGACCTCCAAAGTTTTGATATATAATTGGATAATTCTTGATTACTAATTAACCGATATGGTCGATATGGGTATCATTGGAAAGGTCTTTGAAAGAACTTTCCATTGATGTATAAAATGATATATATCATTAACCCATTGAGAGCCAGAGTCAAATTTTATGTTTTTTCTTTTGAATTTTTTTTACAGATGTGCCGTTATCTCATAAATTTATCGACATAACGGTACCTCATCTCACATGAAATTTTGTAGACAACGTTTGGGGCTTTCCTATGATATATGTTTGAAAGCTATAACCCATGAAATGCAAGAGTTATGTTAGTTTGAAAATTAATATTTTTAGAAAATTTAAATTTTAATCATATTTAAGCAAACATCAACATTACCAATATGTTCGATATGGGTATCATTGGAAATGCCTTTGAAATAGCTTTCCATTGATGTATAATATGTATCATTAACCCATTGAGAGCCAGGGTCAAATTTTTTTTTTTTTTAATTTTGACTTTTTTAACAAAAAAATATATAGATATAAAAATACCTCATCTCACATGAAATTTTGTAGACAATATTTTGACATTTCCTATGATATACATATGTTTGAGAGCTATAATCCATGAAATGCAAAAGTTATGCAAGTTTAAACATTTTTGTCGTATGTAAGTGAAAATATTTAGTTTATTTATTATTTATTATTTCTATAAAATTAGTTAGAAATGTATGTCTTTTATTTAGTATTAGGTTATTTTAAAAATTAAAAAAAAATCGCTCAATTTTTTTAAAATAATTTTTCACTTTTTGGTGATATTGCTAGGATTTGTTATGACGCTTGATTTTTTAAAATAATGTTTCTCTTTTTGGTAAAATTGGTGAATTTTCTAAAATATGGCTCGATTTTTTTAAAATAATTTTTCATTTTTTAAAAATAGTTAAAGTTTTTAAAGTTTCCCCTAGCTAAAAGTGTAAAATATACATGTGCTAAAAATGTAAGAGTATGTATAAATATGAAAATTTAATGTGAGATGAGGTACGCTTATATCCATATATATTTGAGATAACGTTACTTTTGTAAAAAAGTCAAAAGAAAAAACATAAAATTTGAACTTGGCTCTCAATGGGTTAATGATATATGCCATACTATACATCAATTGAAAGGTATTTCAGAGACCTTTCCACTGACAGCCATATCGACCATATCGTTTAATCAGTAATCGAGATATATCCGATTATATATCAAAACTTTGGAGGCCCGTAACTCCCGGACCCTAATAGAGCGAAGAGTTTTTTTGCCTTTGTTATGTTACTATTATGTGGTATGTTTTAAAATCATCTGAATTAGAACGCTAGATTTATACCAAATATATATATAAATATATATATATACATATATATATATATATACTTTTTTAAACATTAAAAAATAAATTTTTCAAATCCAATAATTATTATAGGAAAAATTTTCAGTTTTTATTTATTTACTAGACAACACTCATTTTTTAGCCAAAATAACTCATAACAGCTGTTATTTAATGCTGTTTGTTCTTACATTTCACTTGCAAGACCAAACAATTATTTGCTGAAAATCGATGAAAATATTTTATGCATGGTGTTCACATTATGTTCACATTAATAACATATTTGATCACCGCCAAACAATTTTGTTTGTTACAAATCAGCTGTTTTTGTGTTTAATAATCAAAAATATTTGTTGTTCACATTAGTGCAAAGAAATATTTGTTAAAAATCGTCAAATATTTCATAAATGTGAACTTACCTTTACAGAAACGAGGCACTGTTTGACGACCTAGGAAACTCTAGTTTGTCAAACACAAAGTGTTTGAAGTAATATTACAAAGTAGTGTTTTTTTTTTTGCAAACAGCTGTTTAATTTTTATGTAAACATTTCCTATTGAATGTCAGCTTAAAACAAAAAGAAGCTTATTATTTTGACAGTTATAAATATTAAACATAACCTCAATATAAAATATAAAAAGTGAAGTCCCTCTTGTGCACTGTAATTTCATAAAAATTTACCAAATTGTGTAAATATAACTTTTGGCTTAAAATTGCATTAAATTAAAGTAATAAATTAAGTAAACATTATAGAGGAAGAGTGTAAATGCTTTGTAAATAATTATTGGTAGAAAATAATAAGAAAAAAATGCGTCTGGGTGCTGTTTTATATGTGTACAAAGGGGAATGGGGTCTTCCCTCCATAGATTTTGAGTGTTTGCGCGTACTGGTAAGGAAAAATAATATAATTTTCGTTTGTTTATTAACTAATAGCAGAAATAATAATATATTTTCTTTAAAACTTTTATTACAATAATAGTGCTTAGTGAAATTTACACGCTGTCCCGTGACAATAGAAACAAATTCCAATCCCCTGCGTTCCGGTGCCGGTAAATTACCCTATCTACAAATTGGCAATGAAAAATTCGTGGGCTATAGACAGATAAAAAAATTATTAGACAAAGAAGTGAGTATGCGTTGTTTAAAATAGACTTTTTGGGATGAATGAACGGCGTTGTTTTCTATTTTTAGGGTTATCCCATAGATGCCAAATTGAAACAGAAGGAAAAACACTTATCGGAATCATTTTCCAATTGGGTGTTTTCGCAACTGCATGCTTATTATCATTATTTTGTGTTTGGCGAACCTAATAATTTCGAGATAACCAGGTCGTTTTACGCCAAGAGAACACCGTTTCCATTTAACTTTTATTATCCGTCCTCGTATCAAAAGGAGGCCTATGATATTGTATATACTATGGGTGGTTTTGATATAGATGATAAACTGGAATTACATGAAGGAGACTATGTAAGTTTAAGCGGAAATATTTGTAAAGAAATTTTGTAATTATTTTTATATTTACTTTTTCCTTTTAGCTAACAAATAATGCCAAAAAGTGTATTAATGTTTTGTCAAAGCGTTTGGGACGCAATGTTTGGTTTTTCGGCGATCAATTTAGTGAATTCGATGCTATTGTATTTTCCTACTTGTCCATTCTATCAAAAATAACGCTACCTAATAATCCCATACAGAATCACATTAAAGGTTGTCAAAATCTGGTAAATTTCATAAATCGGATATCAAGGGACGTGTTTAAAAAGGAATCCTTTAATTCCATAAACACTAGTAAAGATGATGCCTCTCCCAATAATCCTATGTTAACCGCAACAGAACGTAAGTTCCTAGAATCGGAAAAGAAAACAAAAATACTAGCTGGTATAGCAGCGGTAGTAGCCATGTCTTCATTTGCCGCCATGAAAATTTTCTTTAAGAAGAAGGTATGTTAATTGAGATAGCACTATATATAATTTATTTTAACTATTATTTTATAACAGTTCTCCAACACTCAGGAATACTATGATGGTTTAAATTATGATGATGATGATGAGTTTGAAGAAGATGATATGGATTGAGGGTGTTAATTTAAAAGTAGGAAACAGAAAAAAACAGAACTGCCTTTTATTATTAGTTTTTGGTTATAACTTTTCGCCTTAATTATGCATTAATATCATTTATATATTATTGTAATACTTCCAAAAGAAATCCTATTTTATTCTATGATTTCTAGAAGTAATGTATGTAAATGTTCCAAAAATTATAATAATACCAAAAAAAGAGTCTTAAGATTTTCTTTGTTTTTAATGCTTCTTGGTAATATGCATGTTAGTAATGTTGTTGAAAAAAGTTTTTAGTTGCCATTTGAAAAATAGCATTACTAGCATTAAATTTTAATTATATATAGTATTTTTTCTCTTATTTTGATTTAATTGTTGGTTTGTTATACACACATTTATTTTTCGAAATAAAAACGATTCAAGTTATGTTAATTATTAAAATCTAAAATGAAATGTTTTTTCTTAATTACTTTATTTGAGAAATATTAAGTTGAAAGTTTAGCACCATTGGAAATCAGCTAAATTGTCCCTGCTATCTGGATCGAAAAATTGTTGTCCTTTTCAATTTCAATTTTTAATTTGAATTCGAAATTTATTAGTACTTTTAATTTTTTTTCTTGTTATTGTATATAATTTGTAATTTATACTTATCAACTAATCATACTTTTTGTGTGTGTTAGATCTTAAACTTTTAAAGCTTCTTGTAATTTTTTTCGTGCCACACTAACACGATCCTCTTGCCGTCGTATATCATCTTCAGATATGAGAATACCCTGCATCAAGGGCTGATCGGGATTGATGAAAGCTGTGGCGTTTTTTTGAAATTCAGTCTTAGTTGCAGTTTGTCCAGTAACGGGTGTATTGAGTACATGCAAAGCGGTGGCTAGTGATTGCATAACAGTCTGTTCATGAACATTGGGCCCCAAAGGTTTTAGACTTTTGGGCAATACAATATCATCGAATTGTTCGCCCGTTGCGTGACAAGCTCTCATGCATTCCAAACGTTTTTCCCAAAATAATTGCTTGGGTTTGTCTTGTTGTTGTTGTGCGCCTTGTTGTTTGGTGTCATTTTTTGTTTTACTATTTTCATGATTGCGTATAACGGTAACGGGTTGCTTAAATATGGAGGCAGTCTGACGTATGGGTGGCACCAAAGAGACATCTGTACGCATAGCACGACTGTTAGGAGTAGGGATATTAGTACGTTTAATGTTTTAATCGAAAATACAGCAAAATATTTGAACATTTAGTATAAAACTATAATTTAGCAAGTTACGAGAGAAATTAAGTTTTTCAAGAAAGTTGTTTGCAACTTAATAAATTATTGTTTGATGATATAAACTGCATGCATATATAATTGTTTTTTTTTTTTAATAATAAAGTGCAATACAAAGTACATACATTAAACAAATTTTCCTTATTTTTTACATAAAATTAAAAAAACTTTGATTTCAATATGCCAATTCGTTAATAAAGGTCAAGATGAATTTGGATTACATAAAATCCCTAATTTAATTGAAATGCCTAAAATTGCCAATTCGTTTGTTTATGGTAAATAGTAGTACATAAAAATATAGTTTGGATATCACTTGACAATGGCATGCAACACAGATTTGCCTGGTATTTATTTATGTTTGGTTTGTAGGCTCTACCTGAATTCTAATTGTTGCTGCTTGAGTGGCAAATTTGTTGAGGTTGTTGTCGTCGTGGTCATCGTTGTGCAAGAACTTAAAAGATTATGATGACTGGCTATTGAAGAGGAAGATGACAAGGCTGATGCTTGTGATCCCATTCTATGTTTACGCTTTAAATTATGACCCACCGAAGGATGATGTGATGGTATTATAGTAATACCACCACCCAAGGTTGGCAATGTAGCGCTACCAGCAACTGTCATGCTAGCACTGCTACCAGTGCTTCCACCAACACCCCCACCACTGCTACTACTGCTTACCACTGAGGTGATGGCAGGTAAACAGCGGTATAATGATATCGAGGGTGATGGTAGATGTTGAATAAATTTGCCTTTTTGAAAATCAAAACTGCTTATATCTATGGCATCTCCTAAATGACGTGCCAACTGTGGCTTACTATCAATACGTTTTCCAGTAGGACTATTGGCAATCGTCATCAACAGCAACATTTTATTTTGAAATTCGGCATATCGTTCAACGTTCAAACATCGTTTTATAATACAATAATCAGAATGTTTATAGAAAAATGTTTGGGGTGGAGTAAGGGTTAAAAAATGATGTGTAGGTAGTTCATATTTAAAATAAATAAAAGGGAAGGGGGGAATATTGTTGTGGTTGTTGTATGAAAGTGTTAAAATTGTGGGATATTTTTGTGTTCAAACGTGCGTTTTTAGTTATTTACTTTAATAAGCTTTAAATTTATTTCAATAAATTACTTACCTATAATAGTAGACATCAACTTTTCCCGCTGAGATTCCAGACTTTCGTAAAACTTCTTCTCTTTGCCATCCCTTGGGCAGGGCATTGCAGTCTACCTTTTTACGTTCTATGGAAATATTCGAGTTCATTTGCATGTTGTTTAATTATTTTCACACTTTTTAATTAATTTATGTTTTCCTTTATTGTTTTTTATAAAAAATTTCACTTGGTAATAACAAGAAGAAAAACAACAGCGTCCCAATTTTCCTGATAAAAACAAAAACACTTTTTATTTGACAACCAATGTTGGCAATTTAGTGATTTAGTCAAAGTGAAGACAAATTCTAGCGATATATTTGCTAAGTAAAACAGCCGAATAGTTTAAAGGTAACGGTAAATATATTTTAGTTAAAAGTAAATTTGGTAATTTTAGTGCCTTTTTAAGGTAAAATTGATTAATTTATGTTCCAATAGTCACTTTTAAAATATATATTTTCGGTTTTTATGAATTTTTAACAAAACGAAAATGTTCATCTTATTGCCATATCGCTAATTTACCATCACTGGCTAAAATCAAAAAACAAAAAAGTGATAGATAGAAAACTCTGCTGTCAAAAACATAACTCGAGGGAAACCCTACAAAAAAAACAAAAACAACTTTTATATTTGTGTTTTGTTTTTGTGAGATTTTTTGAGTTTTTTCATTCAAATTTCCACTACTTTTACTAGCGGTGGGCGATTTCTACCCAAAAGTAATTGATTGATAAAACTTTAAACATAATTAAGGGTAATTTTACTTTTTTCTCCAGCACTAAACACATGAATCATTTATCTTATCTATAATAAATAACTAACATTAAATGCACATAATTTTTGGTAAGTGAAAACTAAAACAAGTTTTTCCTGGTAATTGAACATGTTAGTGACCTCTAAAACTCCATATGAAAATTTTAAAAGGAAATAAACAACCTGTACAAATGAAAAAACTTTCTAATAGCAAAACATGTAATTTTAATACATTTCTTTGTACCCGGCAGCTTAACCTCTGGATCTCTAACTTATCTTTATTAATATGGCTGTTGCTTTCAACTGGGAAACTGCTTTATACATTGGTATAGCTATTTTGGCTCACATTTTCGTGTATTTATTTGTTACACGTAAACGTGCCAAGAGTATTGTGGGTAAACATGTTGTCATAACAGGAGGCAGTCGTGGCATAGGGCTATGTTTGGCTGTGGAATGTGCCCTAAAGGGTGCCAACGTTACGGTGATAGCACGCGATGAAAAAATGTTAAGTAAGTTTGCCTATTGTACATACTAAGTTTAAGAATAACTGTAAAAATATACGTGTTTTGCGTTTTTAATATAGAAACCCCGCCCAGTCTTAAAGAATGAAAACAATTTGTTAGAATTTTCGTTATAAAATTCACTAAAAATTACATTTACTGCAGACTAATTGCTTTTTTATTACTCTATCTTTAATCTAGAGGGTGCCGTTTCCCTTATGGGTGTTATACGCCAAAGACCCGAACAAAAATTCCAATATCGTTGCTTGGACTTGTCATCGAGTTATGATAATGTTGCCAAGTGTTTGGCCGAAATTGAAGAGGAATTTGACGATATTTATATGCTAATCAATTGTGCCGGTCTCGCTATATGTGGTGTTTTCGAAGAAGTCTCCGTTGCGGATGCCCGCAAACTAATGGATGTTAACTATTGGGGTACCTACAATTGTACTCGCTATGTTTTACACAAAATGAAGAGAAGTGGTGAGGGTATTATTGTGGTGACCGCATCTCAGGCTGCCTTATTTGGTATTTATGGTTATGGACCATATGCTGCTTCCAAATTTGCTTTACGTGGGCTAGCTGAAACTGTTGCCATGGAATCAAGGCATTTAGGTGTTTCTGTTACTTTGGCTCTACCAGCTGATACAAATACACCGGGATTTGAGAATGAGGAAAAGACTAAACCAAAGGAAACAAAAATTATTTCGGGTAGCGGTGGCTTAGCGCAACCCGATAATGTGGCGAAACAGATACTTAATGATGCTTTGGTAAGTGAAAAAAGAACAGACTTATTTTAGCTTAAATTATAGCATAGAGTTGGGTTATACCTTTCGACTTACTTCTTGCTTTCCTATTTTTCTTACAGAAAGGCAATTTTATATCCATACTGGGAGCTGAATCTTGGTTACTTACCCTGCTCGGCGGTGGTCTCTTCCGTTGGGGTGGATTTTTTCAAAATTTGTTCCATGCTCTGTTCTTGGGTCCTTTGCGTATAATTGGGTGTTTATTGCATTTACACTTTGAACGTATTATTGAAAACTGTGCCAAGGAAAAAACTGCCTAAAGAAATTAAAACTTAAACCAAACATAAAATTCCAGTAACTTATTTTGAAAAAATAATATGCAAAACTATATTTTTTAAATATTTATTACAAACTATGATAAACTAGTAAAGTTATAAGAAAACATTTCATTTTTATATACATAGTAACATTTTTCATCTAAACATTATTTTCGTTACATTTCTCTCTACCAAAAAGCACAAAGAAACAAAATTAATTTATTTTCGTAGCCAAAGAGCTTGTTTTATATAAATAAATTTTTAATAAACTGTTTGTATTTTTAACTAATTATATGTACATGTTTTTTAAATCTTTGACTTTAATATACAAGGTAAGAAAAAATTATCTTACAATTAGCTATTTCTTACTAAATATTATCAAAATTCTTTAATATGAATTGTCTGTGAGTAACTATCATCTTGTTTTGTGTATTCAACGGAAGCCAAAAAATACTACATTATGATTTTCTCAATATCTTATTAATTGGTTATGTTTTTATTTTAAATATCTTTAGATAAGAATAAAAGTACAAATGTTTGTTACTTATTAAGCTGAATATTGTTGGAAAGAAAATTAATTTTGTGGGAGTCATTAGCGCAGTTTCAAAATAATATTTGAATCATGCAGATGTCAATGTATTGCACAATTTTCTTCATTTTTGTAACATATTTTAATTGTATTGAGACTGCTCAGTATCGTATTGTTAATGGTAAAAATGCCAATATAGAGGATTTTCCATATCAAGTAAGTTAATCATCTTTTATCTTAATCCTTATCAGGAAAAATAAGTTGTCAAAGTTTAGCGAAAAATTAAAAAGTGAGGATGTCTTTTTAAGACGTACTAATTAATACAAACATATTAAAGGAGGGAAAAAATATATTTTTAACTTCCTAGATTTTCAATGTTGATTTTTCCATTTAAGCTTTCCCTGAGACGCCAAACTATACACATCTGCGGTGCCGCTATACTTAACGGACAATGGGCCATAACAGCAGCCCATTGTGTTCATGGTATAGAACATATACCCAGTTATATAACGCTACGCATGGGCAGTCGTTGGCGTTCCCGTGAAGGTGTTATTTTAACCGTTAAACAAATACACTCTCATCCCAGTTATAATCCAGACAATATGAATTTTGATGTATCGTTGATGCGAGTGCGAGAGAATGCTTTCGATCGTTATGATTTACCAGTTCGGTCGATTAAACTACCACAATTATCCACAAAGATAGAAGATAATGTAGCAGCAACTGTTTCAGGTTGGGGTTATCAAAGTTCAGGGGATCATTTACTATCGTCGGAACTGAAATATGCCATCGTTTATACGGTTAATCAACAGAAATGTCATGAAAGTTTGTATTCTCATGGCGGTATAACAAATGCGTAAGAAGTCTGCTTTCTTGTACTAAAAAAAATATTATCCGTTTGCTATTAAGTTTCTACCTCTTTTTATGTATATATGTATTCTTATGCACTTTATATTTTCAGCATGTTCTGTGCTGCTGCCCGTAATACGGATGCCTGTCAAGGAGACAGTGGTGGACCCATTACAATAAATGGTATACTCGTGGGCGTGGTGTCATGGGGAGTTGGTTGTGCCGATCCATATTATCCTGGAGTTTATACCCGATTAGCCTATGCACCAATACGTTTCTGGATCAAGTTATTAACTAAATTGTAATACATTTATGTTTGTTGAAATATTTGTACAATTTAAGAAATATTCAAAATGAAAAAAATACGATTTTTTATTTATAAGTTACGGTAAACTATCTTTCTCTCGCAAATCTGTCTGGCAGCACTTTCACATAAAATTTCCATCAATATGATTTTAATTCTATCACATCATGTTTCTAGATTTAATATTTAAAAGAATTCAAAAATTAAAGTACCAAAAAATTCACCCTTATAGATTCTGATTACATCAGGATATATGTCTGATTTTATGTTTCTAGATTCAATATTGTATAAAAACCAAAAGGTACCATTTAAAGAACGAAAAAGTACCACAAATCCCTTCCTACAGATTTTCATTCACTTAGGAATCTGAATGTTGAGACGTAATTCAGGTCTGAGTTGGGGAACAACTCTCGCGTCATCGCCATTATTTCTTAAGGACAATCAGGCTTGTGTTTGTTGCCAAGCTTTCGACAGAGTTACGTCTCACTCGCACCAATTGAGTGTATTACTCCGTATAACTGTTAATTGTGTCTTCTTACTTATAACTTAAGTTTAATTGGCCAATAACACTCAGTTAAACTAAGATAATAAGTAACGTTAATGTTTACTGAAAAACACAAAACATATATTAAACTAGGTTTAACCAAAGAATGTAGATTATCTTTATCTGAAAAACCCGCCCTAAGTTATGCGTTGTTTGCATTAATTGCGTGCTTTCGTTTTACTTACCGCCTTTGAGGTTATGTTTGATTTAATTGGTGGAGACCAAATAATACTTTTGATTAAGTAATTGTTCGGGGCTCCAACTTCCTATATAAAGGTATAGGTCGATTGGAGGGCTCTCTTCGAACCAACGTGGGATAACCTGGCATTTTGAGTGTTTTAAATACACCGCCAACAAATTACAGAGTTTAAAAAAAAGAATCTAAAAAAAAAAAAAAAATATAAAAAATTCCAAAAGTACCTTTGAAGAACGAAAATGTACCAAAATGCCATATTTTATAGCTTTTAACTTACTCCGGGCTCTACATACTTAATTTAATGTTTCTAGGTTCAATACTATAGAAATTTCTAAAAGTACTTTTTGTATAACGAAAAAGTACCAAAAAGTTCCCTTTTATAGGTTCTCAGCTACTCTGGACTCTACTTGCTTAGTGTTATGTTTCTAGACAATAAAGGCAGACGGAGATGGCTTAATAGACTCCGTTATATTTAAGGACTCAGAATATACATACAGTGAATCAATTAAGTAATTTGCCTATGTAAAATTTTATAAATTTTAAGAAAAAACTTTATCTGAACAATTATTTTTAGCAAAATAAAGCAATTTGTTTGTTGTATTTTTTAAGGAATATCTTATATTTTAATTTTCTACCATAAAAAGTAAAATCGTGATATTAATTAACGAGATTTTTGATAAAATCTGAACGTAATGTTAATTTTTAAGGTCAATAAAGTATTTTGCTTTTTTAGGTTTTTTGTTAATTTTTTAATATTGCTGCATTATTTTATAAAATTTCATATTTTTATTACTCCTATATATTAGAATAGCATTTTTTAGATATTTTAGTAGTGGAACGACTAAGTTTGGACATTTCTTAGCCGATTTATTATCCTATATACCTATAAGAATTTTTCAATATCTGACTTAACATGAAATCTATCGTTTCTTTGATTAAATTTCGAAAATAATAAGTAATTTTGAATTGGATACATGATATATTAGGAAATCAATGGATTTGGATTTGAAAATATTAGTGGGGTATAAATCTATAGATTATAACAAAAATAATCTGGGTTTTTGATCATTTTGTATTGATAAACAAAAACTACATTACGGAAACCCCATCTATTTGGGGAGTACTGTGTGAATTTTATTTAGAATTGTATAATATTGATTCTTATTCAATAAAGCTAACACTAAGTACTATCCTAGCCACTCTAAGTATGGGGATATCACCGTATACCACTATAGAACTATTACATGCTAGAATTTTGATATTCTACCTCATATTTTGAATGCATTATTTTATGAATAAAATACAGTAGGCGTAGCTGGATTTGGATAGTTATTCTTGATTTGGGTTCTAACTATATATAAGTGTATGTATTAGCTAAAAAATATTGCTTTTGTGGATCTTAGGTGATGAGAACCGCCTCTATTTGTAAATACCTAAATTAAGTTTTTTTTCCCGTACCACACGATAGTTCACTTTATATTGTTTCCAAGCATCCTAATGTCTGTTTAGAGGTCTAAATTTAAACATAGTGTTATTTTAAGTTCGTATACGGACTTTGGAGAAGATAAATGAGGACATATAATCTGGCGTGTCTTGTAATTTCACCTGTTACTTGTACGTGAATTCAAAGCGGTTATGAATCAACCGCAAACAATGATTTGAACTACAATTTGTACACGATCAACTTCCACAGTGGTTGCAAAATCACAAATAATAGACTTAAAAAATGCATCTCGCATTTAGGGAATAACATTAGAGACCATGCCGCTATTGCTGTTTTATAAGCATTGAAAGGTCGAACTTGAATTTGATGTTTCTTGCGGATAACAAATCAATTGGCGATATAAAGCCTCATCGAACATTTTCAAATTTAAGTACGGCTCCTGAATTTTTTCCAACTTTTCATCTTGCTCTGCAATGGCACAGTAAGAAACTCATATTGGCTCCAAGACTTCTTGCCGAGCTGGTTGGTGGTAAGCTTATATTACCCGGTGAAGTAAGCTTGTTATCCGAAGCCTGGAGATCCCATAGGCAATGGCATCTTGGACATTGATAGGTAATTAAAAAACAAAAACTCAATAAACCAAAATAAACTATTGCCACAACTTACGTGTTGGTGTTTTCTGGTCCTTGGATGTTTATAACCGCTGTTAGGAGTTCTTGCGGAGCTAGGCATACAATTTATTTTCCTTTTTTTATTACAATTGGAATATTATTCCAATAGCATTGGTTGCAACAACAGCAATGCTTCACAACACTTCGATAAACGATCAATTTGCAGATGTGTATATATGTGTCTGCAGTTTATATCGCCACTGTCCGCGAAACGCGCCAATAAAGTCTTCATACCAAGTCGTCATACAATCCTGTGTATTTCTTATGTGTTTGATAACCTAAGGATTTATAAAGGTTTCATACATTCATACCTTCATACAACACTTCATACAAAAACATAATGTGTTTGATAACCTTCATACACGTCATACAAAAATACAACCCTGAAATACAGCAGCATTTTTAGTACAAAATAATTTGACACATAGTAATCGTAAACACAAAAAAAAATAATTTGACATTTGTTTTGACTCGAAGACAATAAATCTGAACAGTCGTGTTAAAATTAATGTTTTGCTTTTTAAATTTTAAATAAAATATGCTTGATAAAAACTAATATACAAAACAAACAAGTGGCACAATTCCTAAACTAATAAAATAAACTTTGCATGGTCGTCTACCTCAGTAATGAGTTTGCGTGATTTAGATTTTTCTCTCACGCGGCGTCTATTGGTTGTGGTTATTGTTCTATCAATTATCCTTTTTATAAAACGAATATTTTCTTCGGAAGCTGCTTTAAACTATTAACTAAAAGACTGCAGCAGCAGCTCCGAAGACAACAGAATGAGTAAACGACGTGTTTCCTATTTTTACAATCCGGATGTGGGTAATTTTCACTACGGGCCCGGTCATCCTATGAAGCCTCATCGTTTGTCGGTAACCCATAGTTTGGTCATGAATTATGGTTTGCATAGAAAAATGAAAATTTATAGACCTTACAAGTAAGTTTACCAATAATAAGTTAAAAATATTACACTTTAAACATTGTCTTTTTGCAGAGCTAGTGCCCAGGATATGTTGCGCTTTCATAGTGAGGAATATATAGAGTTTTTGCAGCAAGTGACTCCACAAAATATACACTGTAATTGTAAGTAGTGCTAGTAATTCATATTTTTATAACTATTATAAAAATTCTTCTTTAATTTCAGCGGTGGGCTATACGAAATATCTTTCACACTTTAGTGTGGGTGAGGATTGTCCTGTCTTCGATGGCCTGTTTGAGTTTTGTTCCATGTACACGGGCGCCTCCTTAGAAGGAGCCCAGAAACTAAATCACAATCATAGCGACATTTGCATAAACTGGTCTGGGGGTTTACATCATGCGAAAAAATTTGAAGCATCTGGCTTTTGCTACGTCAATGATATTGTTATAGGCATTTTGGAATTACTAAAATACAATCCTCGTGTTCTGTACATAGACATAGATGTGCATCATGGTGATGGTGTACAGGAAGCTTTCTATCTCACAGATCGAGTTATGACAGCTTCATTTCACAAATATGGCAATTATTTCTTTCCGGGTACAGGGGATATGTACGAGATAGGTGCAGAATCGGGTCGTTATTACAGTGTAAACGTTCCCCTAAAAGAGGGCATAGACGACCAAAGTTATTTCCAAGTGTTCAAGCCTATAATATCAGCCGTCATGGATTTCTATCGTCCTACCGCCATAGTGCTACAATGCGGAGCAGACTCCTTAGCGGGTGATCGCCTGGGTTGTTTTTCGCTTAGCACAAGAGGTCATGGTGCCTGTGTAGAATTTGTCAAAGGCTTTAATGTGCCCACATTGGTGGTGGGTGGTGGTGGTTATACTTTACGCAACGTTGCCCGTTGTTGGACTCATGAAACTTCTCTGCTGGTGGATGAACATATAACCAATGAATTACCCATGACGGAATATTTGGAATTCTTTGCCCCCGACTTCACTTTACACCCTGATGTTAATTCACGTCAGGAAAACGCCAATTCAAAACAATATTTAGAAGCTATCGTTAAACATGTTTATGAAAATCTTAAAATGTGTCAACATTCACCAAGTGTTCAAATGGTACAGGTACCTCCCGATGTGGTGGACATGGAAGAATTGCGTAATATTAAAGAGGAAAAAGATGATCCAGATGTAAGAAATTCACAAGCCGAAGAGGATAAAATTGTGGAACCGAAGAATGAATTTTATGATGGTGAACAGGATCAGGACAAGGAAGACAGTACAACAGCTAGTTAAAGAGTACGGAGGATTGTCATATATATTTGTGTGTGTGTGTGCTTATTATGTTAAGAGACAGTTGAACTGTATTTATGTTATTTGTAATGTAATTGCTAAGAATAATTAATAATATAATTAAACATTAATTGTAGTTTTAAAAGTGAGAACAGATTTTTTCTTTTTATTTCAATTTACCGGTAATAGGTATGAAACCACTTGTTATAGTTTAAGTTAATTTTTATTTTTAAATAAAAAAGTTTTGAATATATGTATTATTACCAGCCAGTAGTTGTATTAGCCAAACGTCGCATACGTCTAGTATTACGGTCCTGATCACGTATTTTCTTTTCCATTTCGGCATCGGTTAGTGTTTCTAAAAATGGAGCCCAAGCATCGGCATCACTGGGATTTCGAAATGGTACGTCAACGGTAGATAGGGGAGCTTCACTAAATGCATAGGTCCGATAATGCCAAGACAATTGACCACGAATACTGTAGGCTATGGCGGTTACAAACTCTCCACCGAGACCCAATTCTGCACATAGTTTAATGGCAAACTCCTCGGGATTATTATTCTTTTCCGACATATCCCATTCGATTTGATCCACTAGTGAAGTGTTGCCAACGTGTATATTCAGTTTTACTATAACACGTTGATCACAACTTTCCTCGATTATAGGTGGCTCACTGGGAAAAGCCTCGATTTGCTGGCGTATAGCTTGGGCAATAGCCGGTACAAAAGGAATGGGATTCAAGTCTAAATCATCACACAAAACTTCGGCAAATTGTTCGGGCGTAATCATACTTTCATTTTTGTTCCAAGTGAAAGTGTCACGTAATTTTTGACCCTCCAACTCCATGTCCAAACGTATGGGCACCAGACACTCTTTTTGTGAAGCGTTTTCTAAATTTGCAGTGGGATCTGTATCATCGAAACACATGGGAAATGTTCGCACCTTCTTGGTGTGTACCCGATTACGATTTATGGGAGTGGCTTGTGGCACTGCATCCAAATGACTGGAGTTGGGCATGGTGGGTACATATTGCGGTTGTTTTTTCGACTTACTTTCACGTGGCAACGGTGCATCTGTGGTATTTACTGAAATGGCCCGATATCTAAAATAAAGTTATTTATACTATGAAAACAAAGAAATGTTATTAAACTATTTGTGGGAAAAGCTTACTTTTCATCATTGCCTTGTATTATGTCGTCTACTTCACAAGCTCTTAACAGCGACACGGAGCTGGCTAAAATATGAGGACTTAAACCGGAATCTGCTAAACGTTTGCGTTCCTCATTCGACAAAACAATTCTCGTCATGCCGGGATATTTTTTATACAATATTCCACGAAAGAGCCGCAAATAATTTCCCACTTCTGAGCCCACATAATAATATTCTCCTCCTTCCTCCAATTGAAAAGCCACCGGCTTATCGCCATAGGTTTGTAAAGACATAATGTATTTTGTTTACTATTTTCCTCTTTTAATATTTTACAATAAACAAAATTTTTTCCACTTTTTATTAAAATATACAATCAATGGCGTCCGAATTTTTTTGGTATAAACCAAGGCGAATTAACATAAGGTGGTGACAGTTCGGTAAAAACAAAATTTTCCGTGTATTTTGTTTTTGCATTTGGTACGTATTAAGGCATATTTACATAAGGTACATCACCTTATGTATAAGGCAAATTTATATAAGGTGGTGTTATTCAATCAGCTGTCGAAGATTGTTATTGTTTACAAAAATCTGAAAATACCAAGCATTTTGTAAACCAACATTGTTTATTTAAACAATGTCATAATTGGTACAAATAAACTTTGTATAAGATTTTTTTGCAAATTAATCATGATATATGTTCCTTACAAATTTTAATAATTTTATGTTTCCTTTTTATAAAAAATAAAATTTTCAGATAAAATATTCTTTAAATTAATTAGCCGTACATACAATGTTTGACATCAATACGTACTTAATGCTTAAACAAAGTACATACATGAAAAATATTGTTATTGCAGAACTGCCACCACCTTATGTCCATTCGCCTTGGTACATATTTTGGTGCCATTATTAGTATTCAAAAAAACGCTAAATTGTTATTATTTAAAGTTTCAACTTGACAGCACTTTTTTGTACTAAACAGCTGTTCGTTATTTAATGTGTAGTGGTGGTGTAAAAATTTAATGCGGTAGAGGTTTAATTAAATTTTTGTAATTTTTGTTATAAAATTAAATTAAAATGTCTTTATTGAGGTCTTCAAATAAACTTTACCAATTAAGTAAATCTTTAACTCAGTCCCAGGCTTTAAGTGAGTATAATTTTATAATTATTTTATGATTAACACTAATTTACAAAATCTACTGATACTACAGTTCCTTGCCGCACGTTTAAGAGATGGGTTGCACCTACTTTGCGTGAACTGAATCGTCGAGCCAAAAAGTTGGGACCCCAGGCACCGGCTGCACGTTCCAGTTATATAGAATGGAATTACCGGGCCGAGTTATTTGCCTTTGGCAAACGATTGCAGGAACAATTCGACATGTCTTTGTTGAACACCGCCTTTACACAACAGTCTTATATAGCCAAAGAAGAGGCCAAGCAAAGAGAATTGGGTATAGAAGAGACCGACATACAAATGTCACACAATTTGGACTTGTCCAAAAGAGGAGCAGATATTGCTAAGGAATATGTAGAAGCTTTTCTTAAATATTCCCTGCCCAAAGTTCCCTTTGAAGGCCAGAAATCCATAGCTAGTTTTCTATTAAATACTGAAACCTTATCTAATGTGGCTTTGCATTTGGGCATGAAAGAATTATTGCTAGATGCTGAATATCCTCCTTCCAAAGAATCAATGGCTCAGTCATTATTGGCGGTAATCGGTGCTTTAGAACAAAGCTCGGGTATGGAAAGAGCATTTCTTTTTGTCAGAGATTTCATATGTACACAACTTAATCAAAAGGATATGTTGGATTTGTGGAACATCGAGAATCCCACTGAATTGTTGCAGCAAGTTTGTCAGCAAAATAAGTTGGCTTCACCTGAGCCACGTCTTTTGGGCGATTGTGGCAAAAATACTGTACTGGCCGCGTATCATGTGGGTCTTTATAGTGATAAGAAGTTAATAGGCAAAGGCATGTATACCAATAAATGTATCTTGGAATAGTCCGGAAAAGAGCTAATTTTTAATTTAATTAATTTCTTTTCAGGCTTTGGTGAAGATATTGAAACCGCTGTTAAGACCGCCTCATTGGATGCTTTACAAAAATTGTTTGGCATACACGACAATATGAAACCCTTTAATTACCAACTACAAGTTGAAAGTCAAACACAAAAATTAAAACAATAAGAAAAAGACCAATAAAATCTGTTTTAAATAAGTTGTTAACAATATAATAAACTATTTAATTTTAGTTAAATTTTTAGGTAACACTTGAAATTTTTCAAATTTCATTTTCATTTATTATTAAATTTTATACAATTTAAATTGTCTACTTAAAGATTTTGTAGAGGGAGAGGAGAAGTTTTCTTTGCTACGTAAAACACACATACATAGACTTATTATTCAGCAAAAAAAAATCATAACTAACTAAAGCAATAAAATTCTAGAGAAGTTATCTGCAACATCCATTTAAATGATAATTAATCCGTCTTCTTAGTTTGACCGGCTGGCGGTTCTTCTGGTTTACTTTCCAATGAAAAGGGCGGAATTTTACAATCAAACATATGACCATCTTCACGTTCCAAACGGAAAGTACCCCACATATGGCCACTGGGGGCCTGAAGACTCACATGACTGCTGTATTGAAAAGCGGGTAGACGCGGACTTAAAATGGGTTCTTGTCCCACCACTCCCCGACCTCTTACAGTTTCCAAAGTTCCAGATAAAGAAAATATACGCCAATGTCTTTCACGCAATTGCACGCTGGTATTGCCCAGATTTTCCAAACGTATAGAATATCGCCACTGCAATTAGAGTTAAATTTTGAGGCCGAAAAACAAAATGCAAATAATACAAACACCCACCCAATATACCGAAGAAGCGGGCGTTTCACGACAACCCATATAGAAAGGTATCACAGTTACACGTATATTTTCCGTAGTCTCCTTATGAACATCACTCAATTCCAGCCAGGGATGATTCTTTTCTTGCCATGTTTTCAAAGTGTCTTTGGGCTCAAAACAGGGCTGTTTGTCGGGCACATAAGTTAAAAATTTATCAAATAATTCATGATGTAAAGGATTCTTCTCCGCCGATGAATAGGGCATAATATCGTCATGGGAAACATAATCCAAACCGGGTATGGCATACAAACTACGATTGGAGTCTTGATTGCCCAAAAATGTAACAGCCTCGGTTTGAGCGCGCTAAGAATTGTTATTGTTTTAAAACTGATTTATTATAATTTTAAAATTTTGTACTTACAATGTAAGGACAATCGCGTGAATCTATTAGGACCTGATAGAAAGTATGAACTTTGCCTTTTACTTCCTTGTTATTTGCCGCATCCTGTGTTGAGGTGGAGCTGGCTTGTTGCGCAGCATTTGAGTTTTTCTCATTTGTACTATCAGCCGCATTTGGTTTTGTAACATTTTCACTACATTTAGAAGTATCACTTGCAGTAGCAGAGTCCAAAGAGCCAGCGGCCCCATTTAGTGTATTAACTACATCGTTTAAATGGGACTTTAAAGAAGCCGCTACACTATTTGTTTTATTTGAAGTTTTATCACCTGATTTCGCAGACGTCTCGCTTGCAGTACCAGAAGTTTTGCCTTTAATGGCATTTTTCGCTGTAGTATTGTTGGCGGAAGCTGTAGTTGTCTTGGTTTTATTGGGATTATGTAGATCACGATCATAGACTCTGGCCGTCCAGGGAAACAAAACTACTCCTCTATAGCCAAAGATGCGGTGAAGAAATAATTGTCCCGTCTCATATTTACCATCCGATTTTGCCGGCTCTAAACGTCCTACCTCTGCCAATCTATACAAAAGTGAAGAAAACAACAAGAGGCAGGGAATAAATAAATGTTAGTTACGCAACTTTATATTGTTGTCAACTTTGTTTACAACATTCAAACAAGTGATTCAAGTGTTTTTTGAAATTGCGCCCAATTTCTAGAAAATACTTTTTTACAAAATTTCATCATTGTTTTTCCCAAGAAAAAAATCGTTAAACTATCTACCACCTCTACTCACCTAGCTTGCTGTGAATGTTTTTTGATACTCCTGCTTATTATGACCGTTACGGTTTGCAATAGGGCCGTTGATTTTTTTTGGTTCTGTGTCCAGAGTATTTGTTGCAGAAACCCCATTTGTTTTGTCGTAATTTATGGCGTTTTACTTAAATAGTTTTTGCAAATTTCAACAAATTTTCGTTCGCTTAGAATCTTCTTACCTGGTAAGTTGCAGTTCTAATAACTTAATTAATTTTTAATGATTTTAGCCAAACGTTTTGTAGTATAGCCTAACAATTCGATGTGATGGGTTCTAAACTATATATTTATTTTTTAATATGTAAATTTTTCTTTTTTAAATGTAAAATAATTACATTTTATTTTTATGTGAGCAACGTCCAAAAATTGTAGAAGTTTTATTTTAGAAATGTCATTTTTGAGAGATTTAGAATTTGTAAACACTTTCTGACAGCGACAGAGTTGATATATTTGCTAATTGTTATCGATTTTTTCGATAACCTTTCGAATAATCGAACAATCGACTTTTTGTCGAAAAAGTCGAAAAGTCGAAGTCGACTATTTTGTTCCAAAAAAGTCGATAACTCGACTATCGTCTGTGAAAAAGGTCGAAAAGTCGACTTTGTTAATAAAAATCGAAAAGTCTGAAAGTCGAAAAAAGTCGAAAAAGTCGTAAAAAGTCGAAAAGTCGGAAAAAGTCGAAAACTCGAAAATTGTAGAAAAAAGTCAAAAATAGTCCAAAATTTAAAAAAAAATTGGAAAAAAGTCAAAAACTCTAAAATAGTAGGAAAAACTCGAAAAAGTCAAAAAATAGTCGAAAAAAAGTCGAAAGAAGTCGAAAGAAGTCGAAAAAAATCGAAAAGTCGGAAAAAGTCGAAAAAAATCGAAAAGTCGAAAAAAGTCGAATAGTCGGAAAAAGTCGAAAAGTTTAAAGCAAAAAGTCATCATACGGGTCAATGGCGGGATAAATTGCCGCAAAAAAATACAACGAATTCATTGATTTGCATTAAAATTGCAGCGAAAAAGACGCAGCAACTTAATTGCAAGAACAAAGTGTGCATCGGAAGTGGAAACTATTTTATTAAGAAAACTTTAAAGTTGTTAATTTCAAAAAATAATAAATTTTATCGTGGGAAAGTTTTGTTATTTTTGCATGAACAAAAAAGGAAATAAATCGTGCAAATTTGCTATTATTGTTAATAAATATATGTATTATATCAAAAAGGTAATTATTTACTTTGCGGTTCAGAAGAGTTCTGTGTTAACACATTATAATAATAATGATGTTTTAAAAATTAATAAATAAATCGTTTATTCAAGTTGTAGCAGTTTGTTTTGTTGTTTTACAATTCATTAGTGTATCCAGTTTCTTTTGTTTTTTATTGACACCTTTTTTATTTTGCTACAATCAACAATGGAATTTGATCCAAAAATGACATTGGAATCCTGCACCATCCTGCACAAGTCAGTAACACTCCAGAAATGCCAAAATGACAACAAAAGACTCAAAGGTAAGTAGTTTTTCTTTCTAAATACAACTTGCCATGAATATTTGCATTTAAATAAAGAACTATAGTTTTTTATTTAAATTTCCGACATTGCTTATAATTGGATATATTTATTTCCCTTTTTTTAATTCCCAAAAAAAACTTTGCTGTCTAATCTCCGTTATCTTGACACGCTGACATTTGCATTTTCGTTTTGTTATTATTTCTTATATTTTTTGCAATTTTCTATTTTCTTAGTGCAATTTCACCAGTAGAATCAAAATACAAAACGAAAAAAGACTAAAGAATTACATTAAATTAATAAAAACAATTAAAGATTGAAAAACATTGATTGAAAAAATCCTTAATATTGACAAAATGCATCATATAATAGTGTTTATATTTTTAATCACCGGTTCCTGTAATACGCTATTAATCAAGTTAGTATTCCCACTACTGACCCCTGCAAAGGCCGGGGGATAAATTATATATTATCTGTCTTGCAATAATAAAAAATCAATTTTCTGTTAATTAACTTCTAGATGGACTAATACCCTGACCGGAGAGTGCAATGATGGTATCTGGCGTTATTTTCAACATCCGGTATGTAGAATACGAGAACTTGTAAACATTTTTTAAAGTTTTCTTTGTATTTTGCCATTTCCATCCACAGGTAGTTTTAACATTTTTAATGTTTGCTGGTGAATTTCTTTGTTATGTATTTTATAAAACAATTTTCTGTTTTCTACGACGACGTAATGTAGGTTTGAAATGGTCTTTTTCAGAAATTTGTTTATGGAAGCTTTGTATTTTTTTGTATTTTTAGAATGGTTCAGAGGATACAAATCCATTGACTAGTGGCGATCGTGAATTTAGGCCTTTAAACATGCTTTTGCCGGCTTTTTTGGATGCTATATCGACTATATTGTTTTTGACGGGTCTATATTTAACCTATGTATCCAGCTTTCAAATGATAAGAAGTAAGTATTCTAGATTAATGTGGCGAAATGTTGTATTCATATTATGACACAGTAAGTTAGCTGTAGGATTTGGCTTTAAATGTATTATTTTCCAAATATTTTATTAGTGCAAATTTTTTTATAAAATATTTTAAAGTTTTTTGTGACCTTGATTTATGCAACTGATAAGAAATTAGATTTAACAGCTCCTAAAACTACGGTTTTGTTGGTTTTTAAAAGTATAGTCCAAGATTTTAAATAAATTTTTTCGTAAAAAAGAACATAAAGAAATAAAAGAGAGCAATGGAACGGTAATAGGTAGATTACCAAAGGATTTCATCCTAGACGTTATCCGGGTCAATTCCCCAGAGAAAGAACTGTAAGAGAATCTGAATATTGTAGACAATAATTATTTTTGAAAATAAACTTAAATAACTTAATATCATCCACTGTTTGTAGATTAGCCATATTAAACAACAACCATTCTCTTATCACCTAAAGAGTTCACTTGCATTTACATATATACATACATTAGTCTGGGTTTATAGTTACATCTTGCAATAAAAAAATCTACTATTAAGACAATAAATATTTTTTTCTCTTTTCCATATTCTAGGTTCTGCTATCATTTTTGTTGGCCTATTGGGTTCTATACACATGAATCAGGCTTTAATAGGACGTCATTGGTCGGCTATTATCACCATAATATGTGCTCTTATTATAATTATATCCAGCGATATGCAACGTGTTATCTCTGATCACAATTCTTTGTCACATATAAATTCCAATGCTGTTCTCTCGGGCGATTTAATGATAATATGTGCCTCTATCTTTCATGCTGGGCGCATGGTGTACGAAGAGAAATTCCTAAAAGCTTGCAATGTACCCATTTTACAGGCTATTGGTTGGCAAGGTTTATTTGGTTTATTCATCACCTTATTCCTGGGCGTATTTATGAATTTCTTACCCACACCTGTAATTCCCTTTAACGACAGTTCACGCGGTGTGTTTGATGATCTCATGGATGTTTTCAGTCAATTGCGCAGTAATCCTTGGCTGGTGGTAGCTTTAAGCTTATTCATTGTCACTTCTTTACTCTACGGTTACACTTCCCTGTGCATTATACGTTTCTCTTCGTCGGCCAATCTGGTTTTAGCCGAAAGTGTGCGTTCGTATTTAGTCTGGCTAATAGCCTTGCTGCTCGAATGGGAATATTTGAATTTGGTATCGATTATTGGTTTCTTAATCTTACAAATGGGTTTAATTACTTATCGTAGAGCTATTCTTTTGGAATGGTATCGTTCGTTAGTGTTGCGTATATGGCGTAATCGTTATGATGATATGTCGGGCGATCCTACAGCTGGCTTAGGTGTGGGCACTGCTGGTAGCGAAGTGCCCACTAATCGCCCGGCTGACATTATTTAAACGGTTTTATTGAATTTTTTGTTGGCATTTTATAATAAACTTTTTCTTAAAACTTTTAGTTGTGATACGCGTGTAAAAATATCAATTATCAAAAGAAAATTATTTCGAAAACAAAAAGAATTCGTAAAAAAATCCGACTTTAACTTTTTGAATAGAAAATTAAATGTATTTTTAATGAGAGTACGTTTTTTCAAAGAATGGTTCTCAATAAATTTTGAAAAAGACTTGTTTGTAATGTATGGAATTTAATAATTCTAATTAGTGATTTAATTTATAATAAAGTATAAAGATGTATTTACAAAATAAAAAAATTTAATTATTATATGAAGTTTGAATTTTAATTTTGAGTAAAACTCATAAAGTATTCATATTTCTATTTGGTGTGTATTTGCAAACAATTTACATTCATTAAAACCACCTACCTACACCCTTCCCATCATAAAAAACGCAAATAAATTTAACACATTTACATTGAAATTCCTTTGTTTTGCTTTATGTATATTATATATATTTTTTAATTTCTTTTTTAACATTGGCATCTTTTGTTTTTTTTTTTTTGCAAAATATTTTAAAATTAAAATTTTCTAAACAAGAAAATATCTTAAGAGATTTTACTTTAAAAATAGCATAAAATTATTGAAAAAATCTAAATATAATAAAATTGGCCTAAAGAATATAGGTAGCAACATAAAAAGTATCTTTAGTTTAACTATAAATATTTTATATTAAGTTAAACAGAAAAAATTAAAAGAAAATAAAAATGCAAAAAATGTTAAAACTGTTATTGGTTACATATATGCTAATAATTATCTGAGGATGGCTGGTTACTCTTTAACTTTAATATATAAATTGACATTTATGTTACGTGTCGTGTAACACATAAATACATTTTCTTACAAACAGTTGCTTTTGTTTTATAACATACATACATACATATGTAGTATAATATGTAATTCTAATATCTTGTTGTTTGTTTTTAATAGAATTTAGAATATATAACAACAATATTGTGCTATATAATTGCAATCAATAAACAAAACAACAATTTATGTACTGGAGTAAATACAAGCTTTGATAATTAATGTTTAAATATTTATTTTAATGCTAAATACGTTTTCACAATAATAATATGTAAATTCATGTTGATTTTTTGTTTTCAGGAGTTTTAATTTAATCAATAATGGTTTATTGTCTTGTATAAGAATTTATTTGTTGTTTTTAATGAAATATGATATTTTGTTTTTTGTTTAGAATAGCACAAACATACATACATGTGTATTATATTGTTTGTAACACTTTTTTATATAAACTATTAATTTTACAATAATTTTCGACTTAAAAAGCCAAATTAAAAAAAACACCCATTTAATTATTATTTAACTTAAATAATGAAACATAATTTTTGAACAATATACAAACAACATACAATTATACATTCATTCAAAAGAGAGCACGTTTAGGCAAATTTCGTCTATTTAATTATTAGTTTATTATTAGCATTATTTAATTTCCGATGTACATTTAGGACGACACATAATGGAAATGCATTCGTTTCCAGTTAAATTGGTTCTTAAATTATTAAATAAATTGCTTGTTTATTCCTTTTTGTTCATGCCAAGCAAACCCTCAGCAACTCCCAAGAAGTAAACCATTTGAGCGATACCGAAGAGTGGAGCAATGACAATCATACGGCACAAACCACCCTTGAAGAAGGCAGTGGGTCCTTCATATTTCATTGTTTTGCTGGAATTAAAATACAAAAAAAAAAAAGTAAAAATAAATAATTTTAATTTAAAAAGTACAAAATGAAAATTATAGTTCAAAATTAAATTTTTAATACACAATTAAATAGTTTTAGTACAATATTGAAAGTTTGGGACGAAATTAAAACTAAGTGCAAGATTGAAATTTTAGTACAAAATTGGAATTTTTACTACAAAAATGAAATATTAGTACAAAATATAAATTTAAATTTTATAGTAAATAAAATTTAAATTTTAGAAAAAAATTTAATTTTTGTTCAAAATTGAAATTTTTACTACAAAATGGAAGTTTTAGTACAAATGTTAAAATTTTAGTAATAAATTAACATTTTAGTACAAAATTGAAATTTTGATACAAAATTGAATTTTGTTACAAAATTGAAATTTTGGTACAAAATTGAAATATTAGTTCAAAATTAAAGTTTTAGTACAAAATCGAAATTTTAGTACAAAATTCAGATTTGAGTACAAATTTTGAAATTTTATTACATAATTTAATTTCAAATATATAAATCTATTATTTCTGTAACGTACTTTTTCCGAAATATTTCTTAACAAAACTTTTTAATACTTACGTTATACAATCCATAATACCCTTGAATTCCTTTTCACCATCAGCCTTTTTAATAGCTTGTAAACGTGTCTTAACCACATCGAATGGATTAACAAATAATGCAGCAAATGAACCAGCTGCCAAACCAGACAAAAATGAGCACCTTTAATAAAAAAGGACATTTAATATAACATTTAACATCAATTGTTGATTAAATAAAAAAACTTACCAGAACACAGCTTCACCCGAACCATCATTACGTCTGGGGCCCAAAGCATTAAGTGTAGCAAAGAGGGGGAAGTATACAATGGAGAAGGTAACATCTCTTAAGCCGGTAGCACCAATACCCTTGTACAAACCAAATATACCCTTTTCCTTCAACAATTGTGAAGCCAATTTAGTGGCGGAAATCTTTTCGACAGTTTTGCCCGCCAATTTAGCTTGAGCTGCAACACGACCTGCGTCTTGCATTTGAATCTTTAACAATTCCATGGGTGTAGTAACAACAATTTGGAATGCGCCGGCCAAACCACCAGCAATCATTTGGCTACTAACGGGCAGTTTACCGTCCTTGGTAGTGAGTTTATGACGGAAGTAATCATTGGCGGTCAATTTAATGGCTTTTTCGGGGGTGATCAAAAGGATATTGACACCTGAACCACGATACATGCCAAAGTAACCTTCAGCACGATATGTTTTGCGGAAGCAATCGAACCTTTAGTATAAATATTCATATCGTTTTAGAAATCTTTAAACATAACTTTGTTTTAGTTTCAAAAACTTACATATTTTTGTACATTTTTTCGCCATTTGGACCGACTTGTTGATTTTGCAAACGAGTTTTAACTAAATCCAAAGGAAATACACATGATACGCCTATAATACCGGCAATACCACCGTTAATGATCTTAGGAAGCAAACTGTAAAGAGTAAATTGAATTGAATTTTAGTCATCTGTTAAAAACCAAAATGTCAACTATTAGACGCGTGCCTTTATTACGTTTTTGTTTTAAAATTAAATCATTTATTTTCGATTTCATTTAAAATCAAAATCATTACTAAATACATAATAGTTTAGCGCCTAAATGAACTTGTCAGCGAAAAAAATTTGTTTTATTTGTTGTTGTCGAGTTGTCGGTGGTGGCACGTTTTCAAGAATTTCAACTACAGCAACAAACTTTCTTCTTTCTAATTGCACATTTTTTTATTTGAAATTGATTTGATCACCGTCATCATGATGATCAATCGCCCGTCATTTATTTATTTTATTTCGAATTTGCAATGAAATTTTGTATATGAAAATGTATAAGTAAAGAATTTATTTTACTAATTTAATTGTGTGTTTGAAAAGCACATAATCATAATTAATCAAATATTTTTAATCCTAAATAAATAATTGATTTGATGATGGTAAAATGCAAAGAAATTTAATTATGGGCAAAAATAATATATAGTTTTTTTATTAAATGATAAAGAGAAAAACAATTAAAATTTTGGTTTAAATTATTAAATATAAATTTAAGTACAAAATTTAAATTTAAGTGCGAATTTGATATTTATGTACAAAATTGAAATCTAAGTACAAAATTAATATTTAAGTACAAAAGTGAAATTTTAGTACCATATTGATTTTCAAGTAAAAAATTTAAATTTAAGAACAAACTTTAAATTTTAGTATAAATTGAAATTTTAGTAGAAAATTTAAATTTTAGTACAAAATTTAAATTTAAGTACAACTTTGAAATTTTAGTACAATATTGAATTTAGTACAAAATTGAATTTCAAGTAAAAAATTTAAATTTAAGAACAAAATTAAAATTTTAGTACAAAATTGAAATTTAAGTACAAAATTGAAATTTTAGTACAAAATTTACATTTTAGTACAAAATTGATATTTTAGTACAAAATTTACATTTTAGTACAAAATTGATATTTTAGTACAAAATTTAAATTTTAGTATAAATTGAGATTTTAGTACAGAATTGAAATTTAAGTACAAATTTGAATTTTTAGTACAAAATTTAAATTTTAGTGCAAAATTGAAATTTTTGTGGAAAATTGAAATTTTAGTACAAATATGAAATTTTAATACAAAATTAAAATTTTAGTACAAAAATTTAGTAAAAAATGGTATAAAATTGAAAATTTAGTACGAAATTGAAATTTTAGTTGGTTGGTTGCGCTCGAAGTGTCAAATAGAGTCGAAGGGACTCCATTATCCGTTATATCCAGCCTGAAGCTGAAAGAAAACTCTACTACTTGTAAAGATTCTAGTGCTATAAGTTAAGTTACCCCTACAACACCCGTTCCTTGAAGGAACTCTGTATCAAAGTCCGTATGTTCTTGATCTTCAACTTTCTTTACAATAATTAAATTTAGGAAAATACATACTAAAAAAAGATTCAAAGCCGAAGGAATACACATACTAATACGAATTAGTACATGACATTCAATAACCTTGCATAATTAGGAGAGGAAACACACCTTTCAGTTGAGAAAAGTACAAAAAAGAAAACAAGTAAAATTTGAAAGAAAAAAAAAAAAAAATAAAATTAGTCTATACATATTGTTTTAATCGCTCACGTGTAGCTAAATAAAAGTAATAATAATCTCAAAATACAAAAAAGGTTTATTCACATTTTATTTAGATTAAAAAAAATTTAAATACAAACAGCAAAAATATCAATACTTACGAAAATTGTGCTGGTGCTTGTTGTGGAGTTGACATTTCTGAAAAGAAAATAAAAACAATACCAAAGACAGGTTTAATTAAACGAATTAATTCAAACTACTACATTAAAATTAAATTAAATTTTATACATAGAAGCGATACATAAAAGTTAAAAATGTTTTAATTTAAATAAATTATTTAACAATATTAGTTGAAAAAAAAAAAAATAACTAAAAACCTGAAATTAGTTTTCAACTTATAATTCTCTTTAAATAGATTTTTTATTGCTATTTATTATCATTAACAAAACTTGTTAATAATTTGTAAAAATGTTAAATATTTCAATTTAATGACGTTTTGTTTTATTTTAATATTATTGTTTTATTGAGCTCCAGATAAGCTGTGTAAAAATGAACCAAAAATTCAAGTGATAAGAAAGAACAATTTAAACGCAATAATTAATCTACAAAACAATTCAATAGTCGTCTGTTTGTTTTTGTAATTGTATACATAAAAGTAAAATAAAATACACATAATAAATATGTCAATAATATACATTTTCATAATTTAAGTGGTTTTCGAAAATGTCAGTTATGGATAACTTTCGATGGACTTGATATGATATACAACTTTGTAAATACATATGTACATATGTATATGTCAAGATAAATAATTCTATTATTTATTTAAAAAAAAATTAAAGCAAAAACCTAAACTATTTATAATTAAGATAAAAAACTTTTAATCAAATGAAAAATCAAAATAAAAGTTAGTTATTTTCCTAACATATGCTTAACATTATTTTATTCCATTAAGTTAGTGAAACATTTTTTTTTTATTTTATTCAAAACTTTTATTTGTTCATTTATTTTAAATGCTGTCATAATGTCTCTTATAAACTTTGCAAAAACACTTAACAAAACTGTGTCAAACTTTAAAAACTATTTTTCTTGAAAATAAGAATGACTGGAATATAATGATTTATTTTATTGGTTCATTTTTTGTCTGTGTCTACTATTAGTATACATTTCTTTAGTAATAAAAAAAGAAAAAAAATCTGCTTATTTATCAATTTAAGTTTTAGTGTCTTCCTATTATATTCCTTTTTTGGGACAAATATTATTGTTTATTTATTTAATCAAGAAAAAAATCACACATTCAATAATATATTCTTCAAGTTATTTTTAAAGTGTAAATAGTTAATTTACTATTCAAAGCTAATTTCAATATTTAAAGTTAAAATTACTTTTTTATTTTCAATAGATGCGACTATATTAGTGACAATTTATAACATTAACACAATTAAATAAAGGCGAAATCGTATTTCAAATCGTATATCGGTGTAAAATAGATAGTAGTAGTTTTTCTTTGAGCAGAAACAACTTGACAAATAAATCCGTATATTCTATTGAATCTAAATTTGAGGCACATGTATAGATGGATAGGCAGATAAATCGAAATATCTAATATATTTATAGATAGATAGATAGATAGATAGATAGATAGATAGATAGATAGATAGATAGATAGATAGATAGATAGATAGATAGATAGATAGATAGATAGGTAGATAGATAGATAGATAGATAGATAGATAGATAGATAGATAGATAGATAGATAGATAGATAGATAGATAGATAGATAGATAGATAGATAGATAGATAGATAGATAGATAGATAGATAGATAGATAGATAGATAGATAGATAGATAGATAGATAGTTAGATAGATAGATAGATAGATAGATAGATAGATAGATAGATAGATAGATAGATAGATAGATAGATAGATAGATAGATAGATAGATAGATAGATAGATAGATAGATAAGATAGATAGATAGATAGATAGATAGATAGATCGCTAGCTAGATGATAGATAGATAGATAGATAGATAGATAGATCCTAGATAGATAGATAGATGATAGATAGATAGATATAGATAGATAGATATAGATAGATAGATAGATAGATAGATAGAATAGTACTAGTAGTTTCAACTGTTGCTAGACTTAAAACTACGCCTATCTTATGACGTTTTGGAATCACCAATAAATAAATAATTTAAAAATCGTTCAATACATGAAATTAAATATTTTTAATTAACACCTTTTTTAAACGTTAAAAAAACGTGTAAATATGCCTATAAAGATTTACTTTGTTTATTTTATTAGGTATTTAGATATTACATTGAAATACATTGATAGTAAAAAAATGGAAAACTCCTAATTGACATGCTTTTCTAAAATTTTAAATGGCGTATCAACTGATTTAGAATAATAGCAATATTTCTACAAAATAAGCTTAAGCAGGTTTATTTGGGAGTTCGGGTATAGCATTGCAATCAAAGAGGATTCTTAGCTTAAACTCACAAAGAAACCGGCAATAATTAAACTACAAAGGAACTACTCACAAACGTGAAAAAGAAATTTGAAATGAAATTATGTATGTATGTACCTAATACTGGTCGATAAAGACAATTTTATTTGATAATACACAAATAATGTGTTGACTTTTCATCATATGAATGAACAAGCTATGGCCAAAAGTAAGGTGTTCAAAGTTCCAAATGTTTCTCTGATTAATGCATAAATAAATAAAAAAGATAAAACAAGCTTTTTTAGAATTAAAAGAGGTTCCTATACAGAAACATTTACGCAATTAACAAAAATAATTTTGATTGTATTTGTTAAATATTTATCTTAAATATAAACATTAATAAACACACTCCTGGCAACAAATTTAATTAGAAAAGACCATTCATCCACCTATGTGGTTAGATGACAGTTTTGAAGTGTTTCAAATTTCTAAATAATCTATTGAACAAGTAACTGATTATCGGTTTTGGCTAGTGGCTGGAAAATATAGATATTACCCAACAATAATAAACTTAATCAAACATTTAAACACATGTACCTAATAGGTATAAAAAAATCAATAAATCGTTTTATATAAAACGAAAAAAATAATCTCAATTTAAGTTAACCGAAATAAAAAACCTAATGGAACTGTTTGAAAAAAAGCAACAAGCTTTTTTATCGTTTATTATGATATTCCTGTGTACCCCCCAACTTATCGTATTGCTCTTTTCAATTTACGTAATTTGTTTTGAATTTTCATTAAAAAAAAGCCTCTACTTTTTGTTAAAAAAAAACAAAACAGCCAAAGCATCATAATTTATATTAATTTAAAAGAAATTGCAATCATACAAAAACAAAAAAGAAAGAATTAAAAGACAAAAACGTGCCTACACACATACTAATGTATCTATAGATATTGTTGTTGTTATTTTTGAGGGTCAACTTACTTGTTTTTTTGTAGTTGTTATTGTATGTTTTATAGGTTATAATACACTTTTTGTTAAACTTTTATTTGTTGCACTTAATTGACTTTCTTTAATTCTAATAATTTTACACACAATTTACTTTCTTTAACACATTTGTGTGGCTATTTGTTATAATTTAATCAATACTTTTTTCTATTAAAATACCGTGCAGAAAACCCGCTGGCAAAAAATCAGCCGTCAACTGATGATTTTTGTTAGACAGTGTAGTCAAATGTAATTTTGTTACCAAATTTAGCGATTTTTAAAATTGTAATTTTAGCGATTTCTTGATGTTAACTTGGCAGACAAAATTCCGATAAGTTTAAGACAAATACATATATCAGGTACATGTATTCGATAAAAAACATACAAACTGTGATCATCCGGACAAACGTCATTTTATGCTGGGTATGTTGTCTTTATCCGACTATTCATCTGCATATTTTATGTTTTAGATCTAAAAAAAACAAAACATATAAAATATGACGTTATCTTAAACATGTTATTAAAATA